AAAATGTGTCCTTGGGAGATTTTGTTGCTGTGTGAACATCAAAGTGCACTTGCACAAACCCAGATGCTGTGACCTACTACACACCCAGGCTCTATGGTATGGCCTACTGCTCCCAGGCTACACACCTGTACAGTGTGTTATTGTCCTGAGCACTAACAGCAATCATAACCCAATGGTGAGAATCTGTGTACGTAAACATATCTAAACACAGAAAAGGCACAGTAAAACATGATATAATCTCATGGGACCATCATTATGTTCATAGCCCACAGTCACACAACACATGACCATATGTTTACCATATATACTATATGAGAAAGAAACTCACAAAAATGTTATCACTGGTTACCTTTGGGTATTGGAATTCAGGGTTCAGTCTGACTCATAGGCTCACCCTCTGGCCCTGAGGATGGGATTGGTGGCCAGAAATAGGGAGCTGTTTGCTGAATAACCAACAATGATCATCCATTGAGACATGAATAATAGAGTAATGAATTAGGCTCAGCAATTGGAAATGATGAATATGATTTTTTCATGTAAAGTAAGGACTTTGGGTTAAACCAGCAGGTTAAACATACAGTTTATCTTCACTTCCTAAACACCACTAAAATTACTGTTAATGAATAAAATCTATGTGAACGAAGAAAGAGGAGAGTAGATTAGAGCAGGCATCCTCAAACTATGGCCCATGGGCCGCATGCAGCCCACCTAGGACATTTATCCGGCCCACTGGGTGTTTTTGCCACCACTGCCTGTCCTGCTTAGCAGCTGACTCATCCCAGGGCCCACAGTCCGGCCCTCCAATTGTCTGAGGGACAGTGAACTGGCCCCCTGTTTAAAAAGTTTGAGGACCCCTGGATTAGAGCAACAGAGTCTTGGAAGCTGGGAAATAGACACGAAGAAAATTCAGTGCTTGCCTAGGGGGAAACCAAGAGGCAAGCAAGTTCACGCATCAAAAGCCTGGGAAGTCTCTGCAAAGGAGGCCCCAAGTACCTCTGATAGTAAGAGGCAAGTGAGCTAGAAACAGAAGGACAGGCTAGAAGTCTGTATAAAAAGCAAGGACAGGACAGGACAGGTGCAGTGGCTCACACCTGTCATCCTAGTACTTTGGGAGGCCAAGGTGGGAGGATCACTGGAGGCCAGGAGTTTAAGACCAGCCTGGGCACCATAATGAGACCTTTTCTCTATAAAAAGTGTTTTTACAAAAAGTAGGAGGCTTCCATAGTTTTTCTCTCTCCCCCACCTTCCCAATGGCCAATCACTCCTCCTTTACCCCAGAGAAACTGGAGATTTACACTGGAGAATTCACTCAGAGGAGCTCGCACCAGGTGTGGCCAAATGCAGAGGTAATAAGCTGAAATCAATCAACTAGCAGATTAGAAGAGACTGAGACCCTCTCAGCCTCCTTCCCCCATACAGCTTCCAAAAAGTTGATAGATTTTACAATCCAGACTAGAAATAGAGGCATCCCTTCTGAGGAAGACCCTGCTCAAGAGAAAAGGTCTATAGATACTGTATCCCAACAAAGAAGCTTATTCTTTACCAGATAATTCCACAGTGAGACCTATCAAAGGGCAAGCCTCCCTGATGTACACACATATCAGTTTCCTAATTACTTATTCTTAAAAATGAATGACAACTAAGGACCACCAGACATCTGAGGAAAGCCTCTGGC